AGACCAACCCCACACCCTCCACACACAAGTCCCCACATGTCACTCTCTGGTCTTCTCGGCGAAGGGCCAGGTGGCGAGGCCCTCTTTTCTGGGAACACATCATGCCAGTGTTTTTTGGACTGGTTGGGAGCGATCTCAACGACTGTGCGAGAGCGCTCTGAATGGCTCCCAGATATTTGGCGCTGTGTTGGCAGGTCTCAGACGTGAGCGGAGCTGGACATGGGAAAGTCCAGGGAGCTCCACTTGTTAGCAGCAGATGTGAATGTAGTCGCTGGAGTAAGACACACAGGGAAATGTCTTCAGCTACGAACCAGTACCAGAGAATAACCCATGACGTCCTGGGTTAGAAACAGCAAATACATAGTTGTATTACATCAAATGAAAACAGATCCAATAATATGTCCATTATTAGTAATTAAGTAATCCTTATTTATATCGTGCCTTTCACAGACCAGAGTCAAAGCGCTTAGTCTCTCACTCCACACAGAGATGGGAGGGGCCAGTACAGGAGGCACAGACCTATTGTACATGTTTTTAGTGGTAGGGGAAACCTGAGCACCTGGAGGAAACCTATGCAGACACGGGGAGAACATGCAAACTCCACTCAGAAAGGGCCTGTTCCAACTGAGATTCGAACCCGGTTGAGAAGCTAAAGTGCTTCTTTGCCAAGTGCCCAAACTGATTCAATGTGTTTGTGTATCGCCCTAAATCACTCTGTACTGAGGTGTCAATTTGCCACGACACAGATCAAAGAATCAAACTTTTAAACCCAGGAAATGCAATGATCATCACTGTCCTTAGACCGTTCTGCATCTGCAAAGAACCATCCATCCATTTTCTACCCTTTAATCCATTTCTGGGTCAGGGGGGTGGCAGTCAGAGATGCCACCCAAGTCTCATAGCACCAGCCCCTCACTGACCCTCTGCAGGTGGTGAGTCCACAGGAGGACGGCTGCTCTCTGAGTGTGAGCATAGCCTTGATCTTTCAGTAGGGGCTTTGGGCAAAGTGGGGTTAAGTGTCTTGCCCAAGGACACAACGACAGCAGTCATCAGTGGGAGTTGGTGGAGAAGGTGCAGAGGTGGGAATTGAACCCACAACCTTCTGGCCTTAAGGCCAATGCTCTACCAACTGAGCTACTGAGCTCACAACCCTTTGCAAAGAACCACTCACAAGCTAAAATCTGTAACAGTCTCCCTGAAAATGTGAGACAGGCTTCTTCTCTGACAATGTTCAAATCCAGGTTAAACAGTTCTGTTTCGCTTAGGGCTGTCAAACGATTAACATTTTTTTAGTTGATTAATCGCACAGACATGGTGAGTTAACTCACGATTAATCACATTTTTAACATTCTATTTCAAATCCACTCCAATTGAAGTTAAATGAGATTATCAAATATAATGACACATGTCATTCAGACCAAATGTTCTTAAATCTGTTAGATTTGCTCACAACCCTTTGCTTTTCGGAACAACCAAACTGAGCTGTTAATGAAAGGGGAACATTTACGTACCCAAGCTTTAATTCAGCGTTTCAGTTTAGTTTAGTTTCAGGAGGAGACACAAACACTTTCACAGTGTATTTGCGAGCACAGGTTACGCTCAGGTTGTAAAGACACGAACACAACATGTAGAGAATAATTCTGTGGCGTGTTTGGTCTTATATGACCACGTTACCGCAACGCCATTGTTAGCAGCTCACAGGCGTGTTGTTGTTAGCGGCTCACAGCCGTGTTGTTGTTAGCGGCTCACAGCCGTGTTGTTGTTAGCAGCTCACAGCCGTGTTGTTGTTAGCGGCTCACAGCCGTGTTGTTGTTAGCAGCTCACAGGCGTGTTGTTGTCAGCGGCTCACAGCCGTGTTGTTGTTAGCGGCTCACAGCCGTGTTGTTGTTAGCAGCTCACAGGCGTGTTGTTGTCAGCGGCTCACAGCCGTGTTGTTGTTAGCGGCTCACAGCCGTGTTGTTGTTAGCAGCTCACAGGCGTGTTGTTGTCAGCGGCTCACAGCCGTGTTGTTGTTAGCGGCTCACAGCCGTGTTGTTGTTAGCAGCTCACAGCCGTGTTGTTGTTAGCGGCTCACAGCCGTGTTGTTGTTAGCAGCTCACAGGCGTGTTGTTGTCAGCGGCTCACAGCCGTGTTGTTGTTAGCAGCTCACAGCCGTGTTGTTGTTAGCGGCTCACAGCCGTGTTGTTGTTAGCGGCTCACAGCCGTGTTGTTCTTATCCACGCATTTGTCTCCAGTAGGTTAGACTACTGCAATGGCTTGTTCACAGGTCTCTCTAAACAAGCGGTAAAACAGCTGCAGTACATCCAAAATGCTGCAGCTCGAGTCCTGACTAGAACCAGGAAGTACGACCACATTAGTCCGGTCCTCAGGTCTCTGCACTGGCTTCCTGTGGCTCAGAGAATAGATTTTAAAGTAGCTTTACTTGTGTACAAGTCTCTCCATGGCCTCGCACCAGGGTACATCCGCGACATGTTGGTGCCATATGAACCAACTCGGGCTCTGAGGAGCACAGGGACTGGACTTCTGTTAGTGCCAAGAGTCGGAACTAGACATGGGGAGGCTGCGTTTCAGATTCATGCAGCTAGAGTCTGGAACCGTCTTCCCGAGAGTGTGAGACAGGCGTCTACTCTAGCAGTTTTTAAAACTGAACTGAAAACAGTTCTTTTTAGCTGTGCATACAAGTGAATGATTTTATATTTGTTTTTATCTTTAATCTTTTTAATGCGCTATGATTATTTATGATTATTTATGATTGTAATCCCTTGTGTGATTTTAATGTTTTACGGTTTTTAACTACTTGTGTGATTTTATATATCTTGTGCTCTTAATCTGTCCTTTTATGTTTACTTAAATTCTAATGTTTGATGATTTATGCATGATGTTATATGGGTTGTGAGGCGCTTTGCGTTGCCTTGTGTAGGAAAGGCGCTCTACAAATAAACGTTGATTGATTGATTGATTGTTGTTGTTAGCGGCTCACAGGCGTGTTGTTGTTAGCGGCTCACAGGCGTGTTGTTGTTAGCGGCTCACAGGCGTGTTGTTGTTAGCGGCTCACAGGCGTGTTGTTGTTAGCGGCTCACAGCCGTGTTGTTGTTAGCGGCTCACAGCCGTGTTGTTGTTAGCGGCTCACAGCCGTGTTGTTGTTAGCGGCTCACAGCCGTGTTGTTGTTAGCGGCTCACAGCCGTGTTGTTGTTAGCGGCTCACAGCCGTGTTGCTGTTAGCGGCTCACAGCCGTGTTGTTGTTAGCGGCTCACAGCCGTGTTGTTGTTAGCGGCTCACAGCCGTGTTGTTGTTAGCGGCTCACAACCGTGTTGTTGTTAGCGGCTCACAGGCGTGTTGTTGTTAGCGGCTCACAGGCGTGTTGTTGTTAGCGGCTCACAGGCGTGTTGTTGTTAGCGGCTCACAGGCGTGTTGTTGTTAGCGGCTCACAGCCGTGTTGTTGTTAGCGGCTCACAGCCGTGTTGTTGTTAGCGGCTCACAGCCGTGTTGTTGTTAGCGGCTCACAGCCGTGTTGTTGTTAGCGGCTCACAGCCGTGTTGCTGTTAGCGGCTCACAGCCGTGTTGTTGTTAGCGGCTCACAGCCGTGTTGTTGTTAGCGGCTCACAGGCGTGTTGTTGTTAGCGGCTCACAGCCGTGTTGTTGTTAGCGGCTCACAGCCGTGTTGTTGTTAGCGGCTCACAGCCGTGTTGTTGTTAGCGGCTCACAACCAGAGCGGCCGCGGAGGAGGCGGACTTCAGTTCACAGCAAACAACAGCCCGGCGGTGACGCACGTATTCGTTTAAAACTTGAATTCCCAGAGCCCTGCTCTGATGCATCTCACACGCAGCATTCTGAGTGTTATTATGGATAAATGGGCGGGTCATTCGGACATGCGTTAATTTTATTTAACGCGTTAATTAAAAATCTAATTAACGTAAGTGATTACACAGCTCCTCACAGCAGCAGGAGAAGCTCCATTGATTTAAATGTAATTTCAAAACGTTCTACCGGTCATTATTTTCTATAACGGACCTCTCAAAACAATAATGACCGCTGCCCTTTGGCAACGCACTCTCTGCTTGTCTTTCAGATGCGTGAATAACTCCGTAAGTAGTTCCAGCCACTCCGGAGCTAGTCACGCTCAATCAACACACTTAAATGTCGGAGAATACTTATACATATACATTCTTCACACACGTGCACGGAGGCTTTCAGAATTGACAACTGAAGGATTTTATCTTCACTCTTTTTAATGTACTGTGATTATTTAGGATTTGCCTTCTGTGATTGTTTCTGTCTTGTTCAGCACCTCGAGTTGCCTTGTGGATGAACTGAGCCCATTGGGCTCCCACGGACAGACAGTCTCTATTAGATTGACGCTTGTTGTGGTTTTTGGTCTAAAACATAGTGATTCAATTCATTTCATTGTTTTCTCAGAGACTTAACAAAACCATTGAAATCCCCAACACAGATCTTCTGTACTTCTCAGCAAGTTTTCCCGACGTTTCGTCCTCAATCCAAAGGACTTCTTCAGGGAATGAATTCTCGGACCGCGCGTTGGAGATTTATAACCTATGGGTGTGGTTAGCCACACCCTAATCCTGATACTAACTCATAAACAATCTAAGGTCCGATGTAGAAGGGAGCAGGTCTAACGACCCTGCTGAGGCTAACGACCCTAACTCATTAGCACGTTAGGGTCGTTAGCCTCAGCAGGGTCGACGATCTACAGTGTTTTTCTGCCGGGGCATCTATATTGAGACAGTGTGGATCAAACTAGAAGCTTTTCATTTTTAATGTGCTTCACACGTCCATGTAAAACATGCACAAACATGTATTAACATTAAAAATCAAAGTCTAGTAACACGAGAAGAACATCCAAAAAGGCTCAATATTTACTAAAATGTACAAATAAAGCAGTGATTTTGTTTTTGAATTGACGATCTTCAAATTCACTGCGATATTATTGTCTATATCTATCACCCTCCACCGTGACTAACAGGTCTCTGTGTTCCTGCAGCCGTCCAAGTGCACGTCCTGAAGGGAGACAAGGCGGGCGAGTGGTGGAAGTTCACGGTCAACATCATGTCCGTGTACAAACAGGGCGAGCAGCGCATCCGCCGCGGAGACCAGCTGCTGTGGGTGCGCGCCAAAGACGTAGCCTGCAAGTGCCCCAAGATCAAACCCGGGCGCAAGTACCTTCTCCTGGGCACGGACGACGACTCCCCCGGCCAGAGCGGCGTGGTGGCGGACAAGGGCAGCCTGCTCATCCCCTGGAAGGACCTCTGGGGGCGGCGTCTGCGGAAGTTTCAGCAGCGCGACAAGAGGGGGAAGTGCTAAGAGTTCACGAGGAAAGAACTGGGGACTCGGAGACTGAGGGGCCGCTGCTGCTCAGAGGAGGCCGGCGGGAGCAGGGACTACGTCAGCGGGCGGCGGGGTCACTCCACAGCTGGTCCGTTTGTGTTGTTTTGTATTTGCAGAGTTTGCACCGAATGTCACAGATGGGGCGGGCGATACGGCGGGCGATACGGCGGGCGATACGGCGGGCAATACGGCGGGCGATACGGCGGGCGATACGGCGGGCAATACGTTTCTCCCGGTGCTCAGCTCTATTACAGTTCAATGGGAATGGATCACACACATGCTGCTTTTAGGTCCAGGCGTTGGCAAGTCATTTACAAAAGGCCACAAGGCGGATTTTTTATTGGCTCAAATATAAGTGCAGGTTCGGCTAAGTGCAAAAGTTTATTCCGTAGGGAGTGGGATGACCATTGTACAGAAAATGTTCATAAATGTCCAGGATCATCACTGCCCTTTGACCGCCCTGCATCAAAGAGGAACCATTTAAAAACCCTTGGGTAGGCCCATATGGAAAGGACTGAGGCTGTAGACCCAGGACTGAGGCTGTAGACCCAGGACTGAGGCTGTAGACCCAGGACTGAGGCTGTAGACCCAGGACTGAGGCTGTAGATCCAGGACTGAGGCTGTAGACCCAGGACTGAGGCTGTAGACCCAGGACTGAGGCTGTAGACCCAGGACTGAGGCTGTAGACCCAGGACAGAGGCTGTAGATCCAGGACTGAGGTTGTAGACCCAGGACTGAGGCTGTAGATCCAGGACTGAGGCTGTAGATCCAGGACTGAGGCTGTAGATCTAGGACTGAGGTAGATATAGATATAAGAGCTGTTTGTGAATTAGCAAAAATGCAATTGTCAATGACCAATCCAAAAGCATTATTTGTTGACGCCTGGAGAAACGTGCTCGGCCTGTCGCATGGCCCGCCCCTGGTTACACTCTATGTTCCGCCATCTTGGGGGTAACTGTATACGGGACTTTGAACCACTGTCTCAACTTTGCATGGAAGTTTCATAACATGCTCTAACAATGTGTTTGTACGGTTTGGTGATGTTGGTGTTAAATGTTCGATGACTCCAAAACCTCAAGAGCCACTGGTGTCTTACAAAGTGCCGTGACCGGTCATTCATAGTAATAATAACTTCAGCAGGCGCCAATGCAACAGTACAATAACAGTGTGGGGGAAAGATATTTCTGAAAGACATGTTGAAAAAGAAAATGTCCATGTTTTTACAGATCATGATTCAATAGTGATTAGATTCACAAAGCCGCAATATTATTCTCATGTCTGGAAGCCCTTTCTACTGGACAATATCATGTAGAGACAGACCAGAGAGAGACCAGAGAGAGACCAGAGACAGACCAGAGAGAGACCAGAGAGAGACCAGAGACAGACCAGAGAGAGACCAGAGAGAGACCAGAGAGAGACCAGAGAGAGACCAGAGAGAGACCAGAGAGAGACCAGAGAGAGAGACCAGAGAGAGAGACCAGAGAGAGAGACCAGAGAGAGACCAGAGAGAGACCAGAGACAGACCAGAGAGAGACCAGAGAGAGACCAGAGACAGACCAGAGAGAGACCAGAGAGAGACCAGAGAGAGACCAGAGAGAGACCAGAGAGAGACCAGAGAGAGACCAGAGAGAGAGACCAGAGAGAGAGACCAGAGAGAGAGACCAGAGAGAGACCAGAGAGAGACCAGAGAGACCAGAGAGAGACCAGAGAGAGACCAGAGAGAGACCAGAGAGAGACCAGAGAGAGACCACAGAGAGACCATAAGAGAGACCACAGAGAGACCACAGAGAGACCAGAGAGAGACCACAGAGAGACCAGAGAGAGACCAGAGACAGACCAGAGAGAGACCAGAGAGAGACCAGAGAGACCAGAGAGAGACCAGAGAGAGACCAGAGAGAGACCAGAGAGAGACCAGAGAGAGACCACAGAGAGACCATAGAGAGACCACAGAGAGACCACAGAGAGACCATAGAGAGACCACAGAGAGACCAGAGAGAGACAAGAGAGAGACCAGAGAGAGACCAGAGAGAGACCAGAGAGACCATAGACAGACCAGAGAGAGACCAGAGAGAGACCAGAGAGAGACCAGAGAGAGACCAGAGAGACCAGAGAGAGACCAGAGAGAGACCAGAGAGAGACCAGAGAGAGACCATAGAGAGACCAGAGAGAGACTATAGATTCTTCTGTCTGAAAGTCCTTTCTTCAGGCCAACATCATGCAGATGTTTTTGAACAGACACCTCAATGAGATTATAATGAGACTACAGTTTATCCTGTTTGTGCTGACAGCTTTGGGACAGTCTCGGTTTAAAGTGGATTGGTCCTGAGGGATTACAGAGAAATTAGCTTCAAACTCAGATGCCACAACCACACACTTTCTTCAGCTCATCTGGAAGAATCACGAGGCGTTTCTAAACCCGCTGAGAGACTCATTTGGACTCTTCTCTATCCGACTCTACTCTCCTCTCGGTTGCTTAGAGTCGAACAGAGTAGAGTAAAATAGTCCTGGGTCGTCCACGGGATCCTCTTTCCTGAACCACCCCAACTGCTGCCTCTGTACGTGGAGGAGCAGCAGCTGAACTCCGAGCTCCTCCCGCGTGACGTCTTTTATCACCAAACTGGAATGGGTGAAGAGTGAGGTGGAGGCAAGGACGACATGATCTCTGAAAACACATGGAAGTACCCGGCGTGTGCGAAGGCTGCTCCTTAAACAAACATTTATATAATCTGTATTTTATCGACGACATTCAAACACTGACCTCTTCCTTGTAAATGTGTGCATGCTGTAGACGTGCTGACCGTAGAATCGACCTGTTGTGACCACTTTGTGAACGCATGAGACGCAGTTATCCAGGGAGAAGGCAGAAGGATGAGGTGGTTGTTGCCATATAGTGACTAACAATTAAAATTAAAGTATTATGTTGTTGAAATGGAAGAAAGGCATGGATCCGTACAGGAAACTGAAGAGAGAGAGCTTTGGGAGTCCACTTTAGTGACACACGTCCACTTCCGACAGCCATTTTGTGAGTCCTCTGCATTTGACCCATGCTTCCAAAGCCACTTGGGTCCAGTGCGGTCCAGCCGTGGTCGTCGTAGTAACAGGGGCTCATCTCCAGAGGTTGATCTCTTCGGTGCCAAAGCTGGAGGATTTCACCTGTTGTACATGTTGCTGGTGGTAGGCAAACCTGAAGCACCCGGAGCAAACCTACACAGGGAGAACACGCAAATTGCTGACAAGTGAGAGCGCTAACCACTCCCACCCTGAGGCAAATTGTGACTACGAGGGAACTTTAAATTATAATGTTTTTTAGTCTAAAATTCTTTCAAAATGGTGTTGGATCAGACTTTACTCTAGAGCAGGGGCCTCCAACTTTTTCTCCCTGGAGAACAGAAATAGCAGAGAGCTCCTCCCTGTGAAAAATGAGTTCATATATTGATTGATTGATTATTTTATTCATTCGAGCAGAAATGTAACGATCCTAAAGTTTTTACAATATGTACTTTCCTTAGTTTACATGACTTTTTATACGTGTTGCCTTCTGTGTTTACAGTATATGCTTACACATGTATAACCATATACAATCAGCAACAATATCTACAATATCAATATGTGTTTACAAATGAATTTCTATTTACAATGTGTCAGCTCGAAATGGAGTGGGAAGGAATGAAAAACTTGTCGACATCATCATAATTCAAACACATGGAAGATTTTTATGATTGTTATTTGTTATATATTGCTTTCAATCGTCAGTATTTATCATCACATACATTTACAATAGTTGTAAGCAAGTGAAAAGTACATTCAGAAATATATATTATCCAACACAATATATCATTTGTCAATTTCTAAATCTATTCTAAAGTCTAAAGTCGAAGTTGGAGACTCCTGCTCTGGAGAAAATGTCATCTTTTCTAATTCAACACATCAACAAACAAGATTTTTTGTTGTAAAAGGCCATTGTTTGAGATTCTCTGAGGCCCTTGATGTTATAGAGATGTTGTTGAAGTGTCGACCCGGTTCTCAAACGGCCTTTTGACTGCAGGTTTTCACTCCAACCGCAGGAGCACAGCAGACTCCACCCATTTCCCAAAGTGAGTCCAATCTGAACCTGGAGACTTGGGGAAATGGGTGGAGTCTGCTGTGCTCCTGCTGTCGGAGTGAAAACCTGCAGCCAAACCAGCCTTTTGAGAACCGGGTCGACACCTCTGATGTATTCTGGGTCCGTGATAGTTTTCCGAGTTCAGATAGAAACGGGAGGATTGAGACGTCGAGGCCTCTTCACCTTCACTGGAGCAGAAATACTGTAAACCACTTTTTATCATTTTGCCTCTTTCGTAAACACAAAATGGCTGCTCTTGTTGTCACGGTAACTAAAGCTCTATCTCGTACCTTGTAAATGGGATAAAAACCTCAAAATGATTAAACGCAGGAGTCCAGACCACTGCCAAATACACAAGTGAACTGGATTTACACAAGCAACTCACAGACGAGCCATTTCTCACTGGGAATTGTGCATTTTTTTAAGCAAATATGAAGCGTTTTTGGGTTGTTTTTGCAGTGTATCAGGTGCATGGATTTTCAACCAAGACAAAAATCTACCATAGATTTGACAAATTCCACTTTGCGGTTCTGGATAATGGACGGACGCACTCTTCCTGGTGTTGGGATTCCGTTTCTCTGATGCTAACCCTTAAGTTGGCCCGCTCTGGAACGGCCCGGTTCTAATGTTGTGAAAGAAGACTGGGAATCTTGTGGGCGATGGCGAAACGTGTCCGCCATCTTGGATTGCTTTTTTTTTTGTCCATTTTCTCTCTGTATAATAAAGGGACCTCTCTCCGTAGACTTCATACCGGGCCAAACTTGTATCGCTGTTAATTCTTCAGCTTGTAAATGTTGTTTAGTAGAGTCCATGGAAGTGTTTGTGATACTAATATATGATGTTTATCTCAAAATGAATATATTTAATGACCAGTGAAATATTGTGGCTTTTTGTGGTTTTTACGTTTGGTTATTTTTTACTTGTGTTGTATTTGTGCTGTTCTGTAGTTATTAAAAGTACGAACAGTTTGTGACCAGCTAGAAGTGAACATTAATTCTATCTGAAAATAAAGACTTGTTTAAGAATATGTCTCTGTGTCTCTTTTTGATTCAGATTCAGTTCATTTGTCGTTTGCAGTAAAACCACATTGGAATACAAGTGCAAGAGTCCCCAGTGTGCACCAAGCAAGTACATGGTCTCTCTCTCTGGTCTCTCTCTGGTCTCTCTCTGGTCTGTCTCTCTCTGATCTCTCTATGGTCTCTCTCTGATCTCTCTCTTGTCTCTCTCTAGTCCAGGGGTGTCAAACTCATTTTGGTCCGGGGGCCACATACAACCTAATCTGATCTCAAGTGGGCCGGACCAGGAGATGCTCTACAAAAATATCCAAAAACGATACAAAGTCCAACTTTTTGTGCACATAAACACATTTATTTAAAACTTCCTTTAAAACACTATCCTTTAATACTCAGTTTTCTGTTACAAACTTAAATGTAACAGTGAGTTTTTCATAGTGCAAATAATGTAATGTATTTACAATATTACATTGAAAATGGTATTTCACAATATGTATATTAATATTTGTATGTTAGCTTTGTTTTAAGGCTCATTACAGAGAAAACCTGCTCACAAAGGTAAAGTAGGTAGATAGAAAAAAGCACTTTAACACAGCACCTCAGCTTAACCATCTTCAGTGTGGTAAGGTCCATGGTTATGTTATTATCACATTAACCATCTTCAGTGTGTAAGGTCCATGGTTATGTTATTATCACATTAACCATCTTCAGTGTGTAAGGTCCATGGTTATGTTATTATCACATTAACCATCTTCAGTGTGGTAAGGTCCATGGTTATGTTATTATCACATTAACCATCTTCAGTGTGGTAAAGTCCATGGTTATGTTATTATCACATTAACCATCTTCAGTGTGGTAAGGTCCATGGTTATGTTATTATCACATTAACCATCTTCAGAGTGGTAAGGTCCATGGTTATGTTATTATCACATTAACCATCTTCAGTGTGTAAGGTCCATGGTTATGTTATTATCACATTAACCATCTTCAGTGTGGTAAGGTCCATGGTTATGTTATTATCACATTAACCATCTTCAGTGTGGTAAGGTCCATGGTTATGTTATTATCACATTAACCATCTTCAGTGTGGTAAAGTCCATGGTTATGTTATTATCACATTAACCATCTTCAGTGTGGTAAGGTCCATGGTTATGTTATTATCACATTAACCATCTTCAGTGTGGTAAGGTCCATGGTTATGTTATTATCACATTAACCATCTTCAGTGTGGTAAGGTCCATGGTTATGTTATTATCACATTAACCATCTTCAGTGTGGTAAAGTCCATGGTTATGTTATTATCACATTAACCATCTTCAGTGTGGTAAGGTCCATGGTTATGTTATTATCACATTAACCATCTTCAGTGTGTAAGGTCCATGGTTATGTTATTATCACATTAACCATCTTCAGTGTGTAAGGTCCATGGTTATGTTATTATCACATTAACCATCTTCAGTGTGGTAAGGTCCATGGTTATGTTATTATCACATTAACCATCTTCAGTGTGGTAAGGTCCATGGTTATGTTATTATCACATTAACCATCTTCAGTGTGGTAAGGTCCATGGTTATGTTATTATCACATTAACCATCTTCAGTGTGGTAAGGTCCATGGTTATGTTATTATCACATTAACCATCTTCAGTGTGGTAAAGTCCATGGTTATGTTATTATCACATTAACCATCTTCAGTGTGGTAAAGTCCATGGTTATGTTATTATCACATTAACCATCTTCAGTGTGTAAGGTCCATGGTTATGTTATTATCACATTAACCATCTTCAGTGTGGTAAAGTCCATGGTTATGTTATTATCACATTAACCATCTTCAGTGTGGTAAGGTCCATGGTTATGTTATTATCACATTAACCATCTTCAGTGTGGTAAAGTCCATGGTTATGTTATTATCACATTAACCATCTTCAGTGTGGTAAGGTCCATGGTTATGTTATTATCACATTAACCATCTTCAGTGTGGTAAGGTCCATGGTTATGTTATTATCACAGAGAAAGCATCAAACTGACCATGATTCAGTTGAAATGAATAAAACAACTTCCATAACCAAAGCAAAGGAAGGTTTCTCACCCATCATCTGTACTTCTTAGCAAGTTTTACTTCCATAACGTGATTCATTCTTAACGACTGCAGCAGTGTCTCTGTGTAAAATACAGTCAAATGTCCAAAAATCATCACCTCCATTTGCAGCTTTGTCACTACACCTGTTTTTACCATCGGTACCCGTCCACACTGTCCAACACACCAGCAACAACAGCAGAACCAGCAGCAGTACCAGCAGCAGCGCTCAAAACTGCTCTGATAGTTTCAGTAACACCACAAATGAATATGTGACATCAGTAACATCAGTCTCTTATCAATGGCAACATGTTGGTAAAAGCGAGTGGTTTCTCAGACCATGTCTGCAGCCTGTAAGAGTTTTAACAAACTCTCACTGTGCGGCTGCGATGCCAATGCTAATGTTGTTAGCACAGGTAGCTTCCCTTTACAACAGCAGAACTAACCTCTCGCTCTGGGCACAAACAGACTGCTGTGTCTTCAGGGCCAGACAGGTTTATCTTCTGTTTTCTCAATTCTTCGCTCAAAGTGCCGTATTTTTCGCCGAGTCTTGTAGTTTAAGGTGTTATTCCTTCAGCACCGCTCTGGTG